AAAAAAATAGAGACATTCCTTTAGGAAAGACCACTGGTACCAAAAAAATCCAGTCCGTAAGTTTGAGGTGAACAAGAAAATTCAGTTCTTTTCTTTTTAAAATTCACTTTTCCTAAAACGTTGTTCCACAAAGCTGGAATCTGGGACAAGGACTAGAAAAAAAATCACAAAACCATAACACAAACAAAAAGGGGCCAAAATAGTATCAAACGTAGCAGTCTATAACAGGCTAGGGCCACATTCCAAGATACCCAAGGCTGAAATTCACAAATCTGCAGGAAAAAGGGTTTGCGTCACCACGTCAACATCCGGGATGCATTCACTGGCGTTGCCCGATCCCCCTTCCAGCTCCAAATCCTGGCTTCTGGGACATTCCTCCACGTGGAGGCCCTCGAATCCCACCTCCCAGCCCCCCACGAGTGCCTCCAGGTCCACGTGGTCTGTTATCTCTGCGGTCACCCTCCCTGGCAGCTCGTGTTTTCTTCTCCTCCACATTCAGGCGCACCTCTCCCCTGAACATGATGGGCTGCAACAAAAGAAGAAAAGGTACTTTCATTAATGACTCACCAGTAACTCTTCAAAGTCAAGCAGATTTCTGCAACCTTGTCTCATAAGCACCTCTCCATGAAAGGAAATTAGTGTTTTATGATTGGTTACTAGAAAATGGTGATAGCCAAATTATGCCCTGTGGCTTTACTGGAGAAGATATAAAAAAAAAGTGAAAGAGTGACACATGAAAAGCAACCTCAGGGCTTAACACTGAGCGTTCTGACACCTTTTAGAAGAGGAACTGAGCTATTAACAGTGACTTTCTTTCATAAACACATAGCAATTCAGTCTGCCACCATGAAGCATCCCAGTTGATTCTTCTTATGGCATGAAGAAGAAGATTCTTCTTATGGCATCCTCACTGCTGAAGGTGTTCCCATATTACTTGCAGCTAAGAAAAGGCTTAACAACCCACTGTCACCATACTACTTGCTCCCACATCAATCCAGGCCAAAGTCAACCACATTACTCAATCTACTTTTATCTCTGGTTTCCAGTCAAGTGTTCTAGACTTTACTCTAGACCACATTGGAACTGCTCAGCCCACAACAGTAGGAAAGCACTTAAGGAAGCAACTCTATCAGCATTCAGATCTTGAACCACCAGCTCACTGCGAGAGCTTCTCAGGCTGCTGGGCTTCACATGCACTAACTCATCAAGTACTGCCACAAATGCTGCTGGCATCCCACAGCTAAAGGTGTCTAACCACATGAAATATCCCAAACTCAGACCAAATCTCAAGGCTTAAAAATTTGCACACAAGCTATCTCTCAATTTAAGAACAGAAATATGCTGGTTATACAGTAAGGAGGTAAAGGAGGATGTCCCTGTCCAGTGACTAGGTGTAAGCAAGCACACTGCACAGCTGTTACCATTCACACACATACAGTCATGGGGCACACATTCTGCATTAGCAATCACTGCTAACAAGCTGAGCAGGTACCTCCTGCCTTTGTTACCAGAAATTCTTTTCAACCTGCACACTGATATAGCTTCTCCCTTTCAACCTCTTCAACAAACAAGATCCTACTTGTCCATAGAGTCAGACTCTTTCTACCTTTCCTTCCTGAAAGCTTTTAACCCACCTCCTGTGTAGAGCTGAGCAACTTCCCCTTGGAAAAAGGCTCTATAACAAATAAATTCATGTTCACCTAAGTTGTTACAAGCTACTTCAATGACAGAAGATTCAATCTGTACAAATGCTGCACAAATCTTGGTAACAGGAGGGAAAGACTTCCCACCTACTTTAAGATGCTTAAGAAAGGCCAAAGGGACCAAGTGGAATCTTTTCTTGTTAGAGCAAACAGAAAAACATTGCCTGTTATTATTAACAGACCAAAACCCACTGACTAGAAGTTTATTTACCCTGTTGCTAAGGATCTTCTGAACTGGTTCAGGATCATCAAACACCACAAACCCAAAATTGGGGAGCTTTCCACCACTGTTGATACGGAGTTCAACAACATTGCCATAGCCTGCAAGAGAAAAGCCAAGTTCTTGGGTCATACATTAGAATGCTCTGTTGACCACGCTCATGGCTCCAACCCCCAAACCCTGAATGTACAGCAATGCAACTAGCTTACTTTGGAAAAAGTCTTTAAGTTCAGTTTTATCCACATCATGGGGAAGGTTCCCAACAAACAGCTGATGACTGTCTGGGTATCTCACAATCCGTCTCGTTTCCACATCGCCTTGTTCACCCTCACGAACTTGAACAGAAAAAGAAAACTTGTTTAAGGAAAGACAGTTCCCACAACAAACAAGAAAAAAGTCATGGTAAGAATTAGTACCTTATAAAAGAATCATAATCCAAACTTTATTCATCCATTCATATATTAAAAAAGATAAGCATTCTACACTAGCAAGTTTGTAACTGTTTGCTTTTTATCACTTGAATTAAGCCAAATGCTTCAGTAGAAGCCTAGACACTTCAACAGAATGCTAGTGAAATTTAGGGTCCTAAATGTTGCCAGACATTCAGACCATCTAAAATAACCATATCCGCAAAAGTAGAAATTATTCACTTACTGATAAAATTACTGAGATTTTAAAAGCTTTGATCATCACACTGCTTCCCCAAAACCATCAAATAGCAGAAAACAACAGTTTACTCTTTGTGGCTTCTCTTACTTGGTCTAGGACCCCTCTGTGGTGGGATGCTCGTTCGTTGCTCCCTCACTCGCTGATCCCTCTGAGGTCTCTGAGGTGGGGTCTGAGATTCAGGCTTTGCCTCAGGGCGGGGCTGTGTAAATTCAAAAAGGAGTTAAGAGGAAAAAAATCAGACATAACAGTAAGGTTCAGCTTTTAAGAGCTCACTATGAAGTTGTTGATAATACTTGAAAATACAGGAAAAAAATCATAGTTCTTTCCACCTGTGTCTAAAATGCATGTTAGCTCATGTTGGGTTGCATGCTAAAAGCAAACACATCACTTGATTAAGTTCAAAGTCAGTCCATTCGCAATTATATACAATGAAGTGTGTCTGCCCAAGTGCAGTGGCAGTTACACAGAGAAGATTGTATTACATAAACCCATTCATGACAAAACATTCTGTGACAGTGGAAAAAAAAATGAAGAGTTGCCTCTTTTGCTAAAGGATGCAATAATTTTAGATGACAGATACATCCAGCACTCGCATGAACATCCCCTGTTTTCCCTCCATGAGAAACAACTCCTTCTCAACCCAAAAGCCAAGGAATAACATTTTTTATGAAGTCTATCATGAAACATCAAATTTGAAAGTCTCTGGAGTCCCCGAGAATTCAGATCATAAGCAAGTAGTTTTCCACTGTATTTTTCCCACCTCACTTTACTGTCAGCCAGTTTAGCACTTAAACTTCTCTAGGTGTTGGATCCCTACCTGTGAGACCGGTACTTTCACAACATGAGGTGGTATTCCTGATACGGGAACAGCTCCACTGGGAGGGAGGTTCTTACTGGTTACTGATGCCCAGGAAAATGTCTAAAAAAAAAAATTGTAACTCAATTCCAGATGCTTTTATCCTTCTGAAATATACTCCTGATAGTACAGCTAACAGACACAGGATAACAGTAACAAAATTCAACCTGTCCTTGAAATTCTGGATCCAGCCACTAGCAGTTTCCCCGCAACTTCCTTGACATAATTTCAATTCAAAAGACTTAGTATCATGACAATAGAGTCACACTTCCACCTTCTTTCTAAATTCTACATGGATTGAAATAGGACACAGCAGTAGCCTAAGATCAAGTAATACATCAAGGTTAACCAAAGTACTGGTTTCCTGAGCATCCATTTGTCCACTTTTGCCTCCCTTAACACTGAAGAGTGACAGAAATCCTCGGCAGAAAGAAAGTGACATTTCACTGATTTTCCTGATTCAACATGTTGGTTGCAGTCTGCTCAGAATTTCAAAAGTTCTGTTTACAAACCAAGAATCTGAGCCGCTTACTGCTGCCACAGTTCCCATTCTTACCAAAGATACAAAGCCATACCTTAGCTCCTGGTATTTTAACCGACTAGTTACTAGCTAGAATTTAAACTACCTGTTTTGTATAGGAACTAATAAGAAGGTGGCAACTGGTCAGTAATTGGGCAAGGGGGAAAAAATTATAAAGCATTTAAAGACTTCTAATTACAGATATTTTCCCTCTTGCCAGAGAGAGGATCATGCTCTGCAAAACAACAGGAGAGTCAAACACACTGATGAAACCAACACAGCACAGAAAAGAGCCATCCACTGTCATTACCCTGGAGTCTTCTTGCACTGCAGGAGCTGGATCAGCAGGAGCTGGAGAAGGACTCTTTTCCACAGTCTCTTCTGGAGCCGACTCCTCTAATACCGGCTCAGATTTTTCTTCCTGCACCTCTGGTTCAGGTTCCTGTTCAGGTTCTGGCTCTGGCTCAGGCTCTGCCTCTGCAGCCGTCTCTTCCAGATGCTCCTCAATGTCATTGCTATTAGACAGCAACACAGAAAAAAAAAAGAGGTGGTATGGTATTTGATTCTATTATTGGGTGGTAAGGAATGTTACTGATCAAATACAGAAGTCAGGCACATCACATTCGACAAGAACAAGACTAATCTGTCTAAATAAGGCCACACTGCACAGGCACGCAAGTTTCTGCGTTGTTATGCTACAGAGCAGCAAAGGCATTACATCTACTGAAAATCCAGAGTCTCTGCGTCCAACCTAACAGCACTTTGGTTTCACCTGTCCAATCCACAGAAATGTTTTGACTAAGAGGAAATAAATTCATTTGACCTGTTCTACAAGCAGTCTGTATTACACAACATCTGACTTCACCTAATAACTTATTATTACCTGACAGCCTGCTCGTAATAAGCACCGGTATCATCAGGAACAGCCTCAGGTGTCTGCTGTATTTCCTCAGGCTCCTCCCCTTCCTCCTCTGATTCTAAATGAAGTTAGAAAGCAAACAAAAAAATTACATCACACACATCTTTAGTATTTGGTTCAAGCACAAGGCATCTTCCACAACATGCAGGTGAAGTCTGTGCTGAAGAGCACGTGGGAAGCACTATCGAGATGTAACATGGAAGATATATTTCCTTATACTTTTGCTATCACTCTGGTTACTCAGTTTTGACCAAGGTCAAACAACATGTTCCAAATACTTCAGAGAAGCAGATTTATAGCCTACAAATCTGACTGCAATTGCTAAAATGAGCCTTACAGTTCTTTTAATAGAAGCAGACTATGCCAGAAAAATAACAATCATCTGCATGTCACAACTACCTGCTGGTGTGCAAGGAAACTAAAGGTAAGGAAAAAAAAAACCTAGAAGAACATAAAGCTTAATGCTGAGCTGCATTCTCTAGCAAGATTTCCTCTGGTCTGGGAATGGAGTGTTGATACAGAACCAGAAACAAACATCAGTAGAACCATCCAAAAATTCCTGCTACTTACCCTCTGGAGGCTCAGTGTCAGAGTCACCAAAAACCTCATCTTGGTAGCGGAAAATATCATTGTGGACATAAAACTTGTTTGCAACAGAACCCTAGAATCAAATCAAAGGGAGGAACCAATCCAATTATATCAACTGCAGTAATGTAAAAACTGAAATAAAGAAACAAGAACAGCTTGAACAAAAGATCCTTCCCACATAAGATTAATCCAAACTTGCTTCCTTGAACAAAATATTTTATTCAGGGGGAAAAAAAAAAATGCATCACACTAGCAAGTCAAGCATGCAGGAAACAATGGGAAAAAATTGTATTAGTGCTTTTAATTTCAATAGCTCAAAAAAATGAAAAAGTAGGAGCAAGAACTTTCTGGGGTCTAAAGTATCTATTTTCATTTTTCAGCTTGACTTGGAACTAAAGTGATCTTGCAATCCTCCTTTCTTTACTAAAATTTTCAATTATGTGAACTGTTTTGTTCAAAAAAGGTCTCTATTTAAAAAGTCACCTCAAATGCTAAGTCAGCACTTTATACAACAATAAAGTCTGGAACCCATGTCCTCAAATGACAGGAAGCACTTTCCTCTTCCTACTAGTTCTTTTCAGTAAGAGGACTGGCTGCCAGGAGAGCAAATCAAACACAAAAAAAAACCTTTAAAATGCTTAAGAAAAAAATATGCATTACACTTAGCTAGTAGCCAAAAGTTAGGATATTTACAACTGTAATCATGATATTGAAGATTAAGGTATGACCATACAAAAGTAGTGCAATTTCCTAAGGAATTTGCAGAATATTACTGCTAATTTTGTGGCAAACTACCTTCCCAGTCTATCCCTTCAGATTCCAACATTGAAGCAGACAGGCCTCATTAATCCTGACATATTACAAGCATTATAACACCATCGGCATTCAATACAGCATACCTCAGGTGCAAGTACAAACGTTTGCATGAATCTCCGCACAGGCTGCATGTTATTGGAGAGCTCTCCCATCACCTGGACGACAACACCATCGTTGAGAGTCGCATGGGCATCCACATGACGAATCTTTGTGTGGCAATCCTTGAAGTTTAATGACAGCACCTTCTTGTGGATATCCTATGAAAGAAAGGTATACAGGTTACACTGCACAAGACATTTCTGTTAAGTTAGCTGGATATGTGTCTCTTCTCGACCACAAAGGTGACAGAAGGAAAAAATAGTAAGATTCTTTTAAGTACTTACAGATTGCCCATAGACTGCGTCAGCTGGTTTTCCATTGGAATCCAAACCACCATGGACATAAGAAGAGTTCTTTCCATAAAACCTGTTGGAAATAAATATTATAAAGCTTAGTGTTAAAATGTAATAACATGAAGCCTCTACATTAGCGTGCACTATTGAATAATATACTGTCTAGCAAGTGTTCTGTTGGAATTATTGGAATAGAGACAGAATTTCTTAGTCCTGTTGGACGACTGGGGGCAGGGGGTTTTGATCAAAGGGGGAAATACAATGTCCTCCTGTATAAGCTGCAACATTCAGTTATGTCAGATACCCAACCGCTAACAGCCAAAACCAAAGCCTCATAGGAGCTAAATGATCCAGTCCCATTCTCCCCTTTCTGTAGCAGGTCCCTAAAGCAACATAGTACCCTGAACACTCAATGCCGAAGGCTTCCCATCAAGCTCTAGTTCAAAGCTTGAGCAAGAATCAATGGTACTTTTTTGTTCATCTACAGCAAAGAAAGTACTGCAGGTAAATCTTCAATTTTATAACTGAAGGATTACAAAATAAAATGTCATAAACATCACAGGATTGCATTCTGCCAGCAGATAAAAGACTAGAACTGAATCCCATGGCACACTGCAAACTTTCCTCTGACACAAATGGATGAGGTCAGCTGTCCACTTAAGTGCAGAAATACTCTGAATAGGTGTTCCTGAGATTGGAAGAAGGAAGGCTTCAGAAATTGTTTCTCTAGCTACTTAAAGCACAGCAAAAGAAATTGCATCTTCAAGAATGAGGTTAGCTCCTGCAATGCAGGATACCTGTCAAATCAAACAGGACCAATTTGTTTAGACAACAGATAGTAGTTTGCTGCACATTCATAATTTCTCTGATTTTCCTTTAAGATAGAGCTGCTGGTATGACTGAGACATACCAATATACAAGCACAAACCATTTCCAATGTTTTTCCTGTATTCAGGGGTCATTATACCAAGACAAACTACAAAAATGCTTAAACTAAGTAGCATTTATCCAACTTTCATCTAGAGGAAACAAGCAACACTCTGGATTGATGTTTTTTCTTCTTTTTTTTGCTTAGAAAACATCTACAGCAGCATTTCAGTAACCACCAGAACACAGATTATTTAAAGATTTCCTGTAGTCGTTATTACTTGTGTTTTAACCCAGCTGATCAAAACTGAGAGCAAACTACACCCAGAGTCTGTCTTGAGTAAATCAGATTTTTAGATGTCCAGATTCAGCAAGCCAAGACATGGAAACAAGCCTATCACCAATTTTAACATACAAATTAAGAAATTGACACAGAAAAACAGATCATAGAAAGGGAGCTTTACCTGTGCAAATAGTCAGGTGCTTGGTTCAGAAGTACTGCCTCACGAACTCCCGCCCGACCAGCAGGGGACTTGGCTTCTCCATCACCATTTCTTTGGTCAACTGAAAACTATGGAAAAATCAAAAGCTCCATAAAATGAGCATTTTACATTGCTGTTCATGTACTGATAGCATAAGCGACATAATCACAGTGGCGAGTATGAACCAAAACCAATTAGCTGTTTTACCACAATATGCAGTTTAATCAATGCTTTCAGAGTCAGTCTTTGGTGCTGAGGGAAGGACAGCTGGGTACCAAAGCAGTGGTGGGACAGGCTGCATGGGCAAGGGAGATTACCTGATAACATGCCAGCATTTAATCATCCTACATACCCTCAGTAAAAAGCAAGTGTGGTTCTTCAAGAGGATTTGCTAAGTGGCTAAGTCATTTACAGTCGATCCAAGTTCTACTTACCTCGCTTGACTTCACAATCAGAATTAAAAGTCAGATGTTCTAAGGCAAAGCCTGTGCTAGTGTATTAGGGGCATTTTTAAAAGGTCAGAACAAGTCTAATCTATTTTTATCAGCAGCACAGCACTCCTTGCTTGGGAGTGACAAGAGCTGTAGAGGAATATCGGATGATATTAAAATTACTACGCTACAAATAAATGCGCTGCTCTTCCCTTGCTTCCACCAAATTCAGCAAGGCACCTCTCACTTAAATCCAGAAGACCAGTCAACTGAACTGCACCAGGCACAAATCGATCTAGGTACCTTCTACCTAATTTCCATGGATCTGTAAGTTACAAAAACAAACCAAGCACATTCCTGTGTTTCCTTGCTTTTAGATACACAGACACACTGTTCAAACTCACACAAAACAGGTTCAAACTGGTAGGGAAAAAGCACCAATACCAGAGCATATTCTTGCTATTGAATACAGAAACAAAAGTAGATTTTCTGCTTCATACTCAATTATACCAACAGGTAGTAGAATGCATGCTTAGCAGACAGTTTTGCTGTCCATGTATCACAGACTATATATGAGAGTTAATCTTCCTGCAACTATTCAGGCCCTGTAGCATCGACAGTCAAGAGCTAGCAAAAGTGCTATCTGCAGCAAGTCAAGCAGATGCTATCCAAAAGCACACTGAAAGATCACATGTACCAGCTGAAAGAACTTTCTCCCCATTAATGACCCTCAGTCCCTTCCCCTTCATAACACTTTCCCAAACACATGCTAGTCAAATTCAGTATGCATATACTTTAGGTGTGTCATGCAAATCAAAACCAATACACTAACTTGAGCCCTCTAAAAATCACTTCTGGAGTCATCATTTGCTTACCTGCTTTTATTTAAGACTGCACAAGTATAAGTAGCTCCAAGAAGTGTCAGTATCAACTAAAAAGAAAACCACAAAGTAGACTTCTAGCACAGGCTAATCCAGGTGGAGTATGCAAAGTTCATGCCTAGGCAGTTGTGTTAGGACCAACTTTCTCTTGTCAATATACGTAACAGCATCTTGTATCCTGGGTAAACAGAGTTGCCCACAACGACCATCTGAACAAAGCAGGGGGGAAAGAAAAACAGACTGCCTTTCCTGTACACTTGTGCTAAGCCACGTTCCAGTTCACCCAATAATCTTGTTTGACACTTTCATTACATTTGTTGAATTTCTGAGAAGTCCTTGAAATGCTAAGAACTGCCAATAGACAATAGCTTCAAAAGAGAGGTGACCTACCAGGTTAGTGTTATTACAGTGACAGTTTCAAATGCACACCATATACAGGCCTGCAAAGGAAGTTACAACCACACTGTTGAATGTATCAGGAATGCTAAACAGAAGCTTCAAACCCCAAAGAGAAGAACATACAAAAAAGATGACACAGAAGCTGGTATTCTGGATAAAACTAAGTCCAAATCAACCTGGCAAATCCTTTGTGTCTCAAACTGTGGCCCAACACACAATATACTATAATCAAAAGACACAAGGCAATGTTTAACCATACTGGCAGAACACACAGATAATATATTTGAGGATGTGATGACATCCAAACTCCCAGCAGTGGTCAGCATGCACCGCATCCAGCTTAGCTGGAGACAAGAGTACACAAATTCCCACCCTGGGAGGTATGCAGTTTAAAGGTTCAAAACTGAAGATACAACTAGAATGCTATTACTATGACAACAAAAATTGCTATAGTTTTGTATACATTTATGTGGTTTGTTCTGCTTTGAATACAACCCCCCACACACTTTTTTCACTTTGTAAGTTTAAAAATAAAATAAATGCAAAATGTACCCATTCAATTTTTTAAACACACTTTTCGTAAGTTTAAATACAGGGGAGAAAGATCTGGCAGGTTCCAGACAATGCATACACAAGTGCCCGCTCTTTCAGTGGAAGTGTGTGTAACACCATCATACAAGGGAACATTTACGCGATAACATGCAGAAAGAGTAAAACCAAACATTACCTAAAACTGAAAAGGGCTTTTCAAGACATTCAGAAGCTTTCAGTTGTTTGAGGGTATTTTCAAGAGCTAAGTGTGCATAAAGAAGTGATACTCCACGGTTGGGTATGGCCCGCAGGAAGTGCTCAGATTCTGCCGACCACTTTCATATTAGGAAGTTCCCAGTATTTGTGGTTTTGAAGAAGCCTTTGAATTGTAAGCGTAATGTACTACAGATACAGATGTCCGAGACTAAACACAGTCTGAAGTGACAAAAACCTCAAAGATATGAACGTTTGCCTTCTAGTGCATATTAAGTTAGGTCCTCACAAAATATTATCACCTGATAAGAAAAACATTGCAGGTAAAGTAAGGCTAAATTGTGAGTACCACTGCTGATTTCCTCATTTAACTTTGTTTCCTGTCAAGCGCTTGAGAAGCTCTATCATTACAAGGGGCAGGATGACCCTAAAGCAGTGGGAGAAGAAATGGCAAACAGACAAGACCTTCACTTCTAGATCCAGCTGGTTTAACTGACAATGCAAGACTTAATCGCTCCATAACAGTTAAAAAACCTTGCCTCTGTGCTGTGAGTTTACAATTAAAAAAACCAGTCCTACCATATTCCCCACGATCACCATTTGAGTATGACAAGAGCTCTACATAAAACAGCATATAAGTGTTCCTTGTTCACTCTCCTTCTCCTTTTTCTTGGGTGGCAGGGAGAAGGTACAGCAAGCCCATCTAATTTCTTTAAAAGGACCAGTTTCTTCTGGAATTCAGACTTATTCCTATGGATGTCAATAAGCAGGTTTTCTACTCAATTCTGTTAAGTTCTGAATCAGGCTCTTTTAAGAATTATTTTCAATTGCTTCTAGTACACAAATGTACAAAGCTTGACCTCCTCACATAATGGTAAATTGTTACCTATAGTACACAAATCTCAACAGTTCATGCACCAAAAGCTTTTCAGTGAAGAAGAGAAATCAGAGTCTTCACCTGTATTAACCCACTAGCACACCACCTTCAATGCTGTTCTGAGCTGTCCCAATGCTTTACTGAAGACATACTGAAAGTCAAGTGGCTTGTGGTGATTATGTCTGTCATATTTACATGCTAAAAATCAAAGGACTTCCCTATTGCTAAGGGTAAAAAAAAAAAAAATCAGAACTAACTCTTAATACGGAAAGAGGAATAGCAGAGTGCCCACTTCTCATTAGGCTGATCTGAAAAGAAATGGGAAAAACCTTTACATGACCTAACCAGAGGACAACAATCTGGTTTTACTCCTGCTGCACCTGCTGCCAGTTGCCATCTGTTCCTGTTCTCCAGCCAGCGCAACCTGGAAGACAGAAGCCAAGCATCTCCAGAGAGAATATTTGCTCCCTACCACTCATAAGCAATATACTACTCCACTATTCCATGACCTAAGAATAACCGCAAATATTTTATATTGCATTGCTACTGCACAGAGCACAATAGTACCAAATGCTTGAACTGTCACTACATTACTCCTGATAGAAGCTTATCCACACATTTTCATGTCAAATGAGATAATGATGAAAGGGTGAAAATTGACAGGAAAAGCTGAGAATCAGATGATTTAAGATCCATTCATAAACATACATTCATATTACTCTGTATATGTAAAACAATTTTGATAATTCAAATTATAACAAATATACTGGAACAATTCTGCATTACAACTGAGTGCTTTCCTTAAGCCAAGGGACTTAGGGGAAGACAAATACCTCCTTTACAGTGGTTATCACCTGGCTGGTGGAAAATTCCACCATCTGTTACAATGTTCCTACTTGGCAGAAAATCAATGCTAGGCACTGAATTTCTAAAGTACAGTTATGTAAATTAGAGCCATTTATGTAAATTCAGTATTAGCAAATTTAGATTTACATCCACAAAACCTGTTAGCATATCAGTATTCAGAAAAATAATGGACTTGAAGAACACCTAATAGCTAGCACTGGTTAGTATTTTCTCACCAAATCGGTACACAAAGTGAACTAACTACAGCTGTCTTTTTTTTTTAAATCAGACAAGGAGTTTAGTCAGAATCTTGTTTCTACTAGACTTCTTACACAACAAAAACCTCTCTAATGTACATCACACAGTGTTCAGGCTCTCAGGACAACCAGTGACTGCAGAACCCGCTTAGCCTGATGTAACTGATGCCATCTTCATTTCCGTATTTTTGACTCGCATTTCAATACAAGAAACAATCTCAAAAAATCCAAAGTTACTACAATGCATTATGGTTCTGTTTGACTGGAATATTACACAGCAGATACAGGGGACAACCATGTAACAGCTCACACTCTTCTGGCTGTGTGCTATAAAGTACCTCATTTGACACTACATTCCTGCCCATCTCTACAAATTGGCAGACTGTATTTACAGAGCACCAAAGCAGTTGTGTTGACCCCCCCATCCTTTCAGTTACAAGTTTAACTAAGAGGTTCTCCTAGAGCTGTTACACTATCTACAACAACCTAACCAGCTTCTACAAAATATAATTCAGCTCTTTCAATTCTACAACTTTATTTCCAACTATACAAAAGCAACTCTGACAGTAAGATTGATGTTATCCAGATGAAGATATTTTTCCCCTCTGTCTCAGCTTAACCCAGGATACCCTCCAAGCCATAATGTCAAACTTC